CTGTCCTGTTCTTACTGATATAGAACGGAGACTCTTCCTTGGTTCAACACCCAAGCTACACACGCCGATCCCCCACACCCTCCCTCTCCGTTGAAGGGAAGCGTGGAGGGGGCGTGCAGGTAAACCGACCCTCCCTGAGGGGCGGGTTCGATTGCACGCCCCTTTTGGAGGGGCGTGGGCGTGGGCGTGCGGGGAGGGGGGAGGCGTGCGTTTATCAACGCCCCAATTCTAAACAACGGCGCAACTACTCCATCTCATATGGAACCCCTGAGGCTTTTGGAACTACAGATCAACTTGTCAATGTACCCAGTCACAAGATTGAGCTTCTCATCACACAAGACTACCCCACCCGTCAAGAAATGTTTCAACACACACCTGAATGGTTCCGCCTGATAGCTGAAAGAAACATGCAGCAGATTGGGGTTGATTTTTCAGCAATCACGGTTGGCAACATCTGGACAGTGTTTCATCAAATGCTCCCATCCATACGCACTGAGCTGGAGGACTATACATTTGATTCATTGTCATCACATTCAAGCCAATATTCACATCAAGAATCAGAGGACATGGGAGCCAATGATGAATTGACTGGATCATTTGAAGCCACTTGTGACTATGAATAACCAGATATCTTGAACTTCTCATCATTGATCTGATTGTGATTTATTCCATTTTATTTGTGTTCATGTTGCACTATCTGCTCATTTGATTGTGATTATCTGCCACTAGAAAATTTAGTTCTCGACCTTTTGCACCCATTTGATTCATGCCCTAAACCCATTGTTTGTTAATCCCCAAGGGGAGATATTCACTTTTGAACGATGACACTTAATAAACTATTTCATCTTTTGATGAGTTACCAGACCACTGTGACAACTGTCACTTTGCACACACCATCATTCTCACTCGGTGACAGCTCTACTACAAGCTTGGCCACACATCAGAGCCTGTGAAAGTTGTTCTGGTCAGCTTCACATGTCACCTGGTGACAGCTCACACCATAACTCAGAGAGTCACGATGAGCCGACTACACCAGCTACACTCTCAATCTTCCGACCAAGAACTCGACTTGTTGGTCACACATTATGAACATGAAGCTCACCCTGAAGTTGATCGCCTTATTAAGGTCTGTGGGGAGTACCCCATAGATCTTGGTGCTGATACTAAGGTGTAATCTAACATGAAGATAAACAAATGCCTCAGAAATTGGTCGGCTTGGTTTACCTATGATTAACTACCCCGATGAACTTGGTTTGTCATTTGGTATGAATTTGCTTTGCCTCAGTAGTGTAGCTGACCATTTGGTATGAATTTCCTTTCCCTCAGTAGTGTAGCTGATATTAACTAGAATTTTAGATGAGTCACCACCCAAAGTATAGTGACCTATCTCAATACTCTAAGGTCAGTTGTCACCTTTTACCTTCAGGATGCTTAGAAGATCATGGAGCAGATCTTACTCAACTCAGGTCCTATTGGATTAGCTAGTCTTGAAGTCTCTCAATGTCACTGTCTAGCAGAAACGACTGATCAATCACTTCAATATCTGTCACTCGCAAGCAGCAATGACCAATTAATCACTTCAACATCAATCACCCAGACCATACCCTCAATGATTCTACATGCTCTCATTCTTATTCTGGAGATCAGCCTATAATGTCGGTTTAGGTTTGGTGTTAAATAAACAATCTGAGAATAAATTCTTAATCCAGATTGTCAAGAAATTGAATCTGTTTAATTCCAAGTTTAATCCTTGATTGTACGACTGGATTGAGAAACAACTCAACTAGTTGAACATGTTGATGAATAACATTCATTATGGTCTAATGTTTGACAAGTTAGGAGTCTCCAAAGTGGATGAGGGATGCTTCTTTTGAGTTCAATCAATCTTGCGCAGCTCTTTTGGAAGGCCTGCAAAATGGTACTGAATGATTTTAACAGAGGAACTTATGACAAAAGGTGCACTTAATTTCTGTAAGCAAGCAAAGGAGTGATCTCGCCATTGAAAATTTAGCAAACTGAATGATAGACTCTTAGTATTCTGATGAAAGTGATTCACATGTGAGGCTTAAAGTTAAAATAACATGAAAGGCCAATAGAAACCACAACTAGCTACCGGTGTTCTCAGGGGGTGGTAAGAATGATGATGACAAACTTTCACAATCAACTTGCCTTCCTGTTGCATGGTGTAGGACATGTGCCAAGGACCCTCGGTTGACAGGGGGTCTGGGATTGGATGATGATGGAGGGTTTTTAATCTGCACAGATTGAGCGTAAATACTTTGATGTGGTTGGTTTGATGATGATGCTTGGTTTGATAATGGCACTTGTTGCCTCTTGCAGGCAGGAATGGGCATGCCTCCCTGTTGAATGTTAGTTGGTTGATGCATCACCTGTGCTGTGTTTTTGTCGGGAATGGGTTTGGGCAACTTCAACGCTTTGCAAAGATCATTGCATACGTGTTCTTCGAGAAAACAGGTGATGCCGTATTTTGAGTTATTACCATCAGCCCACCGAGTTTCATCAACATCAATTATTTGAGTGTCGGTGAGAATTGATCCTACTCCTTGTAAGTCACAGATAAGGCTTTTACCATCGCTTTTAGTGTATGTCCAGTGGGTAAATGCACTCATGAGATGTGAAAGTATAGGATCTATTCCGGAATTATTCATTTTGGGCTTGAAATTCACATTGCTGGAGTACTTGACATAGCGTCCATCGAGTTCAGCCTCCAGAAAGTAAACCTCACTTGGGATGGAGGGATCACCAGTCACTACAACTGCATGTCGAATAATCTAAGGAGAGAGAAAAGATAAGTGAATCGGTATAAAAGGGAATAATTAGGACTGACAAACCTCCATTAATCTACTCTTAGCCACATAGTCTAATTTAATCCCTTTGCTTTTGATAATGACTTTCTTGAACTCATCTAATAGTAGTGCACTGGCCTCATACATACGGGCATCAGTTGCATGCGTGGTGATATTGGGATAGGTGTTGTTGTATCGGATCTTGGCCACATAGTTGATGATTTCAACAGTGCTGTCAGGCAAAGCTAACTTAACTTCAGCTTTGAATGCACGCCTCATGCTCCCCTCACCAACCACTTTGTTGAGATGCACCCTGAGGGTTATTGGTTCGGCATCGGCAGTGAGCTGGAAGCATTTTTTATATGAAAAGTTGTCGAAGTCCGGTGACTTGCTTTGGGTCTGGAAAATTAGTCAGTGAGCATTGACTTGGATTGAAAATGGGTTCTGTCGCCCAAGGTACTGAATCTGAGTTGAGAGGCTGGTGTTTCCTCTGGCAGGGATGGTACCTTGTCAATAAAAACCTAGGCATTAGTATTTGGATCTAGGCAGAGTGTATTGTATATAGGAGAGATCTCACAGGCAACACCTCGAAGCTCCCAGGAGTCTCCTTTGGGGCCACTGGTTGACCAGCGAGCCATTGGACTGGTGGCATGCTTGAATTTGGAACGTGTCAATGGTTTGGTGACGAGTTCAACTGAATCAGTGTCAGAATTGTTGGAATCAAGCTCAGAGTCGTCAGGAGTAGGGGCCCGCATATGCTTGTACGGATGATGATAAGATAGGTGAACTTGATGCGCCTTTTTGTTGGTAGGTTTGTGAATGACAAACAACAAAGACTCCAGGTCAGTGAGGCGGCTTTTACCATGCACAAGGCTTATGTGATTTTTGGCCGGTTCAGGAAAGCTCTTGATGGATGTCTTTGCTAGGATGTCGCCGGAAAATTTGTGCCAGAGTTGGGCCTGGAGGTCTTCAAAGAGCGAAGGGTTGGATATATCGACCCGCTGCATGATATTTGTGATGCCACTATTTTCGGTGAGCTTTTTTCCCTGGTACAATAAGAGTCCGCAGTCAAGAAGCCGGTCATTGGCAGTTGGAGCAAAGGAGGCGGGTGCGAGAGGGGCTACAGGAGCTGGTTTCTTCTTGGGATATGGTGCTGATACTGCTGGTGGATTTTTTTTGCGCTTGGCTTTGACAGCACCACAAAAGTCCTCCCGAGAAGGAACAGCTGGGAGTTGGAGTGTTGGACGTGAAGAAGCTGCTGGTAATGGTGGTGCAGCCTGGGAAACACCAGTGGTTAATGAGGCCCGTGAAGCAAAAGCTGGTAATGATTTTGGAGCAGTAGGGTGACTTTCATGTGGTACTGGGGGAGTGGGGTGTTGGGTAACCTAGTCTTTGCGGATTTTATCAAGACAAGTCATGCACCAGGAGGAAAGGAATGGACCGCTAGAAAACTGGCCACACCTGATGCAGTGCTCCATGATGTGGGGGTTGCACAGTTGCCAGGATGGATGTGCCTCATTGGGTTCTATATATCAAGTTTATCAATATCCCTCTGGATTAATGGTTCTTACCGGTCTGATAATTTTTCTGGTGGCCAAATTGTGGGTGCTTCCCTTTTGGGGATAGTCTCTAACATGTGACCTCCCTTCATGTTCACCAAATATGATACAATATTTGATTGCGAATGATGCTCAGCCAAACTGGTTGTTCTCAAGTTCTTGGTGATCTCACACACTCACGAGTCACCCCTATGGAAGTCAAATGGGTTGCTCCTCTGCATTGAGGTGTGTTTTCTCCAGAGATGAGATGGAAAGTACGTTTTGTGCATGGGAAGCAGCTTCTGCATGTGTTGCAGTTATGAGCTTGGATGACTTGGTCACTGGCAACTGTCAGCGGTGGGCCGCTACACTACACTACACTACGGGCCCATGTAGCGTTAGCGTAGCGGCGCCAATTTTTTTTTCGTGTAGTGTTAGCGCGCCGCTACGGCCGCTGCGCTACGCTAATTTGTAGCGGCGCTAACACTAACCTTTTTTTGGTGTAGTGTTAGCGCGCCGCTGGCGCCGCTACGCTGCGTTACGCTACACTACAGCGTTTTTAGCGGCAAAAAACGGCAAAAAATCGCAAAAAACCGCTAAAAACGGCCACAACGCAGCGTAGCGGGCAGTTTTTGGCGGCCTGTGCGTGTAGCGTTAGCGCAGATGGGGGGAATTGCGCTAACGCTACGCTAAACGTTGTGGTTATTATTCCTGTGTATGAAGGGAGAAAAATCAAAATTTTATTATTTATCAATGAAGGACTCAAGATATGGACAAATGGACGTCAGAAATGGAATCTACGGCCAATTTAACCCCCAGTAACTCACTGGAACCACCTTCATATCTCTACTGGATCAGAAGTTACGCAGAATCAAGGATGTCACACGGAGAATCACAGGATCAGAGGCACTCAGCTGGAGGGTATATTGCATGGGGTATATTGCATATTGCATATTGAATTCCTTTTATTAATATTGAATACCTTTTATACTTACAAAACCACAAGTTGGCCACCAGTTGTACCAGTTAAATTCCCATTTATTCAGCCACAGAACACATGAATTCCTTTCTTACAGCTTACATATAAAAGGGATGCGTTGTAGATAGTCTAGCAAAAATCCCTCAGGATTTTCAAGGATAGGGCAGCTAAAATGCCTCATACAGGGGGTCCCTTGGGGCTAAAATCCCTCATATTTTACTATATAAGGAGGCCTCTGCCTGCCAGTTGTTTCCTCCTCATCCCACTCAGTACACATTTTTGGTGGGACACCTGTCACAGATATTTATTACACAAGAGGTTCACAAGTAGTACAGTTCACAGTTGGAATATATACACAGTTTCACAAACATTACACAGAAGAGCCAGTCCTTTGTTCCAGTCCTGGTTGAAGCATAGTGCTCCCAGACCCTTTGGGTTCAAGAACCACCTCTATTACATTATACATATACAGCATCAAGGAAGAGCACGAGTATCAAGACATCAAGACGAGAAACAACATCAACAACTCAATCAATTCTTTGGACAACAAGATCAACCTTCAATTATACAACCATCTTTGGACATAATCCATTATCACCAACCAAACTGCCAAGCTTACCTTGGTGGTCTTGTTTTCTGATAATATAGAAAGGCAGAGTTTGCAGCTCATTTCATCCCTTTCTCCATTCAGCAAAAAGGATCTTACAATCACTTTTTGAGTCTTACAACGTTAGCGCACGTTGTAGGACTCCTGGGACGGATAGACACGGTAAAGTATATGTATATCAAAAGATCCCTTGAGGGGGAACTAAATTGCAAATAGGTTGAAAGGCTATTACAACTTACGGGTGGTTTGAAAGACCTGCGCCTCTAATTGTACTAAACAAATAACTAAGAGTCTTGTAATCAATATTTAAGAATATGTGGCTGATTCCAAGATAGATCTTACTTTTGCAAAGTAATCTCTATCAGACCCAGATCACGTATCAATCTACTAATGAATATGTTACAACTTCAGGTTAATAATGGAAACTGTGGCGCTTATGGTTGAGCGCAAGACAGTTGAGTTGTTATTTAGAGTTTGTTAATGATCTCTTCCTCGAACAATTTCTTGCTAAGGCACTTCAATCACAACTAGAGCTCCGGTGTTACTACTACTACTACTTGTTATATGTTAATTGTTAATAATACTACTTAAGTTCACTTTGTTATGGTTCAATGGTTCTGGTTCTACTACTTATAAATCTCTGACTTTACTTAACTAATTCTGACAATCACACTACTGACTAACTAATTGTGACCAACTTACTCCTGTAGGTTGATGGGGGGAAAAGAGAATCCTGGTGGAGAGAGGCCCTCCTTTTATATTGAAGAGTGAGGGATTTCTGCTGCAGGGGACTCCTTGTGAGTTATTTTTGCTGCAGGTGACACACTTTTGCACAGCATGATGTCATTGGTTGCTATGAAACCAAGCCATGTAGCATGTGCTGAAACCTTCCAAAGCAGTAATCCAGTACAGTATACAGTCTTATGAGATTTGTGACTTGGAAACCAAATCCACATTCCAAATGTTCTGTGTTTCATCTCAACAGATGAAGCAACAGATCAAACATCAGATGAAACACTTGCTTACTTCCTTCCTTGTTCATTCTTCAGGGTCAAAACCTCTCCGCCTACCTTCCTTCTCCCCTCCTCATCAACTGTCTTATGTTCTTTTCCACTGATTACACAATAAATAAACCCATATTACATAACCTACCCACGCACACAACACATGTACATATGTATACCTTATCCTGTTGTTGTATGTCCTATGTAATGAATGTTCCTCCTCTTGTAATGAATGATAATTGTGTGTCACTATCGCCTCTTCGGTATGCTTTTGGCATTGGAACAGGCACAGCACACC